TATATATATATATCCTCAGTCTAACCAAGAAAAAGCAATAGCCCTGTCCACAGGTAAGCTAAGCCCAAACATGCAAACTGTTAAAAAGGCTAGCCCTTTCTGACCAAACACTATATATGAGTTCAAAATGAGGAGAATAGATAAGAAGGAAAATGGATGCAGACGCGGGAGGCTGATGAAAGTGAACTTAAAAAGCAGGAGTTTACCAATTCTTCTAGTGCACCTTCGTGCTATCAGTGTGAGATCAAGAACGTCTTTGCCAATAGAATATTTAAAGCTCTGAAAACCTGATGACTTGTTAAGGCTTAACTTCATACCATGGTAAAAGAATATGAGATTACGTATATTATTTGTAGGAGATTGGGCCCATTCAAAAGGATACTCCCTTGCATCACAGGAAGCAAGTACGGATCAAGCTGCACAACTAAGACAGCATATCAGATATTAAAAAGGAAAAAGAAACAAGAAAAAAGTTGAATAGAAATTCAGAGATAAGAGTATGAAGTACTGGCATGATTCAGCCACAAAACCGACCTTGTTATCTATGAGCACTTCCAAGATATATCTATTCCAAATAAACTGAGGGTCCGCCTGTAGGAAAAACTCATTCACTAGGGGAAAGTAAGATGCGCAGAACTGAATATCACAATAGTCGTAGTGACACATCAAAAAAATAATCTGATCATCCATCTTTAATAAATCATATCAGCACTAAACACTGATCAACCAATATTATTAGATATAATAAGTGGATAAATGCGGCAGCTCACCAAGAAAACTTACTTGTTTCCACAGTGGAAGCAACTTTGATTCCTCGCCCAGATCATGCAGTCGCTGAGTGCTACAGAGTGCAAGCCATAACTTTTCGGCATAAATTATCAGGAAAAGTACCATAACATGTTTTGCTGCTAGATTGTACAAAATTTCAACACCTACTCTCGAATAAAACTGATATATTATATCAATCCCTGAAAGGGAAGTGACACTTTCCGATGTAAAAATAATGGTCCCTATCGTCAGCAGTTAAGAGGAAAATGATTGTTGAAAACACCTAGTTAAAGGTATATAAGCAAAACAGAATCGATAAGCATGTAAGTATTCCGCGTAAATAAAAACTTCACCTCAATGTTATATTCACGTCATAAGAGAAATAAAGACCCGGTGTCCTCTCAGCAATTCTGAGCAACTCACAAAATTTAATCTCCATCTTTTTCTGGCCAAGAAATATATACACATAAAGATTTTTTTTAGAAAATGGTTTTCCATATATCCCTAAATGAAAGGGGAAAAAAACTTGGCATATAGTATACTTGTTCTTCTGGAGCGTTGTTGAGAGAATGATCACAAGGAAAAATCTTCAGTGACGTGATTTTGAAGATGGGATAACCCATATACGATCCAACACATTCACGTTCAGTAATCACCAACAAGTATGAACCTAGAAGGCAAATGACATATTCATCAAGAGTGTGAAAAACACGAAGATAAACCCGAAAGGAACTACAGAATTAAGTACAGTTAGGACACAATGTGTTTTACATGACAGCTTCTCACAGTCCATTCACCACTAACAGAACTGTGAAATCATTATTCCAACATTTCACTAGAGCATGCAAACAAGGTGCAAATACAAAAGCAACCATTAATCCCCCACCAGAAACCAACACACAACATGTTTTGACTTAAAAAACGGAGCAATTAAAACATGCCTGCAATCAGCTTGACTGTCCCAACCACACCATATATCGTCCAAGTTCTCGGAACATGAAACTTCGCGTAGTCCGTTATGTCCTCTGGATAACACATTTGGGAGTACAAAACAAAATAAAACAAAAACAAAAATGTCAGCCTGCACGCACAACCTCGCCAACTAATGAAAATGAGCAGTAAATAGAAGGAATGGAACAAATCAATAATGGAAAATGAGTATGAGTGACAATGACCGGTAAGATTCATGGATCCATCAAGGCGGCTGATGACCAGAAACGGAGCAGATGAGCCGTCGGTGGGCTCCACCACGTACTGGTCGGGGAATTCCCACAGTCGCATTCTGTTGAACAGCTTGTGGGCGGGATCGGCCTTCTCCATCATTATCAGCACTTTTCGCCGCTAGGGATTTGGGAGGCGATCGGCGACGGTTTTCAGGCGCCTGAAAGCGATCGAGAGAGATGAATCAATTTGGAAACCGGGAGCGTCGTTGGATATGGAGATTGAAAAAATAAGCATATTTTGTGTTTGTTTGTTTGCGTTTGAGCGGACACACTCGCACTCCAAAACTGAATCAACGGAAAATGCCGCCATTTTTGCGGGCTTCCAAGATGTACGTACGCATTTGCACACCTCTCATCAATTTTTTTTATTTTTTTTTTTAATCAATTTATGTACAGATTTTTTCCAACATTTTTTTTTATGTATTTTTTATTCATATTAGTATTTTTTAAAATTATAGAAGTCTTAATTAATATATTTTAAAATCTAATAGTTTTTATTTATTAAAAAATATATATATTCATTTTTTTGACGATATTTGACTTGGTATCCATATTACACATATTTAAAAAAAAAAAAATAGTATATCCAACTTTATTAGAAAAAGATAAATTAACTATGAGACACCTAATTATTATTTTTTTATTAATTAAATAGTTTATCTATCAAATACTAGGATATAATTGTACCTAAAAAATACTAGGATATAATTAAGGATATATGTGATAAATCTAAATGAAAAGCTAGTTGATAGTTGATATCTGACAGTTAAATAGAATTAAATAATAAAATATCTAACTAAAATAATATTATTGTTCTCTCCATTTTGCTCCAAAAATTATTAATAAAGTAATATTATTCGATAAATTCAAACCTCCAAATGATTAATAAATATTAATCTAATTGATCGATTTATCTCTCTATGTTTAATATATAACTTCTTCAATTGATTTAATTACTGACAATTAAATTAAATTGACTTCTTTCATATATTTCCTAAACTAGCACCACTCAATTCATTAATCATTAGGTCGGATAATTATCCACCTGCAGGTAATATTCCTTCATGAACTCATTTCGGGGATATTATCAACCCAGCGCATTAGGACATAATGACTGTAAATAATTTATAACAGCACATCATATAAACACTCTTACTTACCAAAATACCGAGTATGTCATTCTAACATAATAGGAATCACTCTTGTTAAATCAAATAAATAAGTAATAAATATATATGCTCATTTTATATTATCTTACAGCTTAAGAGTACGCATCAATTACTGAATGTCGAGATTATAACCACGATTAGTAAATCTTATAATCATATCCCTTTTGCAGTTTGTTCAATACTTGTCATAAGTACTAGTGTAACCCATCAGTTAAAGGCCAACTGAATCAAGACTACAAGTCTTTTTTTCCAACAGGGGTCTCACTGTCTGTCTAGACTGTGAACAGTTAATTTATATTTTACAAGGAACAGATAATATGATCTTTCTGTTCGACACGACAAACCATATTATCTACAATGTAAAATAAAAGAGTTATGATTGCATAAGTAAATAAACTGTAAATATAAATACTTTAACTAAAACAATATTGTCATATCAAAATGGAATTGTTAATATCTCAAAGCCAAGTTTTTATAACATATCTAACACAAACAACAAACCAAAATCCACATAAGACAAAAAAAAAAAAAAAAA